CTTATTTAGCTCTCCAACCTGTTAAGTTATTTTTTCCAGCACTTTAGTTATGCAAACATTAGGTGTATCTTCAAGTTAGAGTTCTCCTGAACCTGTAAGAGTAGCCTGTCTCGTATTATGACCTGTTCGTGATCCTGGATTGAGTTCACTGTCGCCTGCGAGTATCACAATGTTTGTGAATACAGTCTCACCCTGAAATTCGGTCACGGGCGTGAAAAGCATGTTGCATTTGTAACTGACGGTTTTTGTCACACCCTTAAAGTTATCTGTTGATGGTAAAACCACATATTGTTCTAGCATCCCATGCACATACCGATCACTATAAAATGGTTATGAACCAGTTCCAGTGATAAGTATAGCAGAAAAGACCAAAGAAGTAGAAAAGACTCGATATGCAAAATTCATACCCAGCGTCCATCATGTTTTGTTTACATACGGCAACGCTCTGTTGACACGGAGCAGTCGAATGGGTTGGGCAAATCCACCTTTTCTGGTTCTCCAGACATCCAATATGTAAAGTTTCTCCAATTTACTTAATTTTGGCAGTGTGGACGGAGCTAAATACAACAGCCCTCGTGTATCCGCGCTGCGTACCGATCAATATATACTATCCAAAAAAAGAAAAACGCATAGGTGTTACTGATATGTCAAAACGAAAATAATACCTATTGTATTCATATTATCGTCAAAATATGTATCAATATTGGTAAGAGCATCAATTGACACACATCCGTTTTCAGCAAATCGATTTGCTTAAAAAAATGTTGACTTTGATGTGATTTTTTGAGAATGAGTAAGAAATGCATCGCCACAACGCAAAAAGTGGCATCTTGCACGTTGAAATTGGGCAGGAAAAGCATGCAGTGTTTGGCAATAAAAAGCAAGCTTGCTTTCGGAAATAGGCATTCGTTCAGAAGGTGTTTCCAAGCTAAATGAACATGCCACGTCTTGATGCTGCCACAAGGAACAACGCCATTGGAAGACTGCACCCTGGAGAGTCCCAATCTTCTGTTGCCCGACGTCTTAATGTTAGCCAAAGCACAATATCACGACAGGCACAACAAATGACCGTCCCCGTACAGGAAGACCTAGAGTCACCACACCAGCCCAGGATCGCTACATCCGGGTCCTCCATTTGCGTGACCGTACTGCTACGGGTGAGAGCACTGCAGCCAGGGTGCCAGGACTTAGGAGGATATCAGGCCAGACTGTACGGAACAGGCTGAGAGAACATGGACTGCGAGCCAGGAGACCCTACGTCGGGAACGTGCTACGTCGTCACCATCGTGCTCATCGTCTCCGTTGGTGTAACAACGTGACTGCCTGGAACCTTCGCAACTGGCGACGCATTTGGTTTTGCGATAAGTCCAGATTCCTGTTGCAGAGACGTGATGGTAGGAATCGGGTCTACAGACGTGTTCATGAACGTTATGCCCCTAACTGCGTGCGTCAAGTGGACAGATTTGGTGGAGGGAGTGTGATGATGTGGGCGGCCATATCCTACACTGATCGTACCGATCTTGTCCACGTCCAGGGAAACCTGACGGCCGTACGCTACAGAGACACCATCCTGCTACCACACCTCCTGCCAGCCATTGACGTCCAACGTGAGATTTGCCAGCAGGAAAACGCCCGGCCCCACACGGCACGTGTCACAATGACCTTTCTCGCTGCTAACAATGTCAACGTGCTCCCCTGGCCGTCCCGTTCCCCGGATCTTAACCCAATAGAGCACCTGTGGGATGAACATGATCGCCGTCAGCGTCAACATCAACCCCAAACTCTCCTGGCACTAGCTGCATTTCTGCAGGAGGAGTGGCGGAGGATTCCCCAGGCCGTTATCCAGCGTCACATCCAGTCCATGACAAGGCGTGTGAGAACTGTTATTCGTGCACGTGGTGGGCACAACAGATATTGATACTCCATTCACGTTTGAGGAACATTGTGAATGCCTTACCTCAAGTTATGGACATCATTGTATAGACATTGATCTCTCCTAAACGGATGTAAAATTTCATATACTCAAGTTCATTTCCTACAAAGTTATTCATGTTTGAATATACAACATTTCCTCAGCAAATACGGGTTATGCGTTTCTTTTTTTTAATTATAGTATATTATTGCAAACAGCATGTCATTTATTCGTGAATATAAATGTCACTTCAGATATATCTTTCATTTCATTTAAAAGATAATAAATTGCCGATACATTACATACACATATTATATTATGGCCTTGTGCTGTTTGCCACGATGTAGCAAATAATACGTAGTATGTTCCTGTGTGTTTATGACGGGTGCCATCGATGGGGCAGCTTACGTCGACCTTTTCGCGAACACCTGGTATCATCACTTAAGCATAAACATTTGTTCATGAAATAGTCGGCGATCTATAGCTCATTTTTATCTTGTATTGTTTCGTATGATGTTATATTTTTATGGCTAACTACTAGTTTTAGATATAATCTGTGATAAATCTAGTTATTTTACTGTCCTTCGTTGACAGATTTTTATTTCGTATAAATATGTGTATTATTAATGTACTTTTCGTCACGATATGGCTAAAATACTGCCGATGTGACGTTAAATCTTAACTCACTCACTCACTCATGAAATAGTCGGATTCGCACAATGGACGTCTTGGACACTCAGCAATATTCCAGCTATATGACAATCCAGTGATTGATATCATGAGCAATTGGGATTGATGACAGGCATCAGCCAAGTCAGCGAACCTGACCACCCGATCCCGTTAGTCGCGTCTTACGACAAGCATAGTTACCTTTTACGGCAAGTATGGGTAGCTAAGACCTATTCTACCCCGGGTCTTCACGGGTCTAGGTGATAAAAAATGAGATAATTGATATATCTGAAATTACAGTTGTACTCTATGGAAACTTTAAGTTGCTAAACATTATATTTATATGCAAAAAGAAACAGATCACCCAGTAGAGGGACACATGTTTCAATGTTCAGTTCATAAAACTTGACAAAGATATGTCAATCAGAAAATCCAGCAACTCTCTTATTTGGGTAACTGAATTTATCATATAATGGGTAGGTTTCTCGGCAGGATAAAGCCAACGGATAAAAACGATATCCGTTGGGGTCATATGCGGATAAAGATGCAAATATCAAAGGTCACGTAGGGACTACTTTCACTGTTTATAAACAAACACGGCGTCGCACTCGTCATTCGGCGATCGAGTCAGAATTAACCATCGGGAATCTGGATAAACTACAGGGATAATTGCTATCATTATCAAAAGAACAGTCTAATATACTGAAAATCTGTGTCTAACTGTGACGTAGCTAAGGCATTTTATAAGTTTTGGCAACTTTGGAGATATACATTTCGAAACAATTTGGCGAGGGCACGAGACCTAGGCAAGCGGGATCAGTAGCCATATCTGTGCTTGTAGACCTCTGTGGCTTGAAACCTCCTCCACAAATTAGTTGGATTTGGCGGAAATAAGTTTGAATTGTTACCTTGTTTCGTTTTGTCGCTGTGTGTACATCTGACAACACTTCTTATCGTTATGACAGGACAGACCGACTGTCAACAACATCTGACCGTGGCGTCTCATAGACTAGGGTTAGAGTAGTTTCCCTTTGACAAAGGGCAGTTACTCTAGCGGACAGACCGATGGATTGCCGCGACAGACAATTAAAAACAATTGTTGTTTTGCGTATATGTTGCTTGGCCACTGTATAAGAAACATATTTCAGTTGGAACTATATTGGCTACTGTCACTGTCCGACTGACACATCACTTACCCTGTGACGTAATAAATATTAATGCGCGCATTCCAGGAAAACTCGCAATGTTTCGGTAATGTTTGTGAGTGAGGGAAAGCGATTTTGAAGCAGAGAATTAAAGAATGACATTTTATGATAAAGAGGTTATCACGCTTGTGTGTTTGGGGATGGTAAATATCCTGTATTAGGAATAAACACTATGTATTTAGCTCGCCAAGGCTCGCTAAATACAATGTTTATTCCTAATGCAGGATATTTACCATCCCCAAACACACTCGCGTGATAACCTCTATATATATGTTTCAACGCCTTTATCTGAATCTGATTAAAGCTGACAACATTTTCACAATTGGGCTTTATTCATCTCTTATTAAAGTAATAAATTCATGAGTAGCATAGGGAGTTGGAGTAGCGTCGTGATAAAGGTATACGGCCCACTGATGTTTCGCGTTTGATTTGCATAAGTGCAACGTCTGTTCTGTTAGTGTCCGCGTCGTGATATGGCTGAAGTATTCCTAAATGTGGCTTAAACCCATACACACTCACAATACACTGGTCTTCAGCAAGTCATGCCTGTCGTAAGAGGGGGCGAATGGGATCGGGTAGTCAGTCTCGCTGACTTAGTGGATGCATGTCATCGTATCACAATTATGAAGATTAATGCATATGATGTCAATCACTGGATTGTCCGGTACAGGTCGCAATTACATAGCTGAGTATTGCTGAGCGTGGTGTTAAAAACTAAATAACAACTCACAATATACCAGCTGCCGTCATATGGCTGGAATACTGCTGAGGGCAAAGAGACAAACAAAACTCACAAAATCTAAACATTCAGAATATGAAGTCAAAAGAATATTAAAGTAATGTAAATATAAATAATACGTAAGTTTGAATACATTGCAGTTTACTGCCATCGGGTACATGGATTTATTTGTAGTCTGCATTGTTCAATTCTATGCGGTATGATATGTCATTTATGCTGAAATATTGTATCATTTTGACACAAAAATCATGAACTGAATCTGTTTGCTGTCCAAATAATCGTAAAATGCCAATTAAGTCCAGCTATACTTATGGGGACTAAATCACTATTAGATACAAATACGTTGTTACTATGCGCATCATTTAACATCAAGAATCAAGATGAATGTAAATTTATATATTACAGTATTTTCTTCAACCTACAAACCGAATATAATGATTTCAGCTGCTAACCATAATTACCTTTATCATTCCAGGGTCAAATCCGAAAAAGACCAAGTCAAGCAACAAGGAATGTAATCGAAGAACATGATCACAAAACGATACTAAAGCCGGAAGAAGCTTCAAGGAAGGAATTTCCCGCCTGAATTGAACCACATTTACAGTGAAATCATTCGTGCTTGATCACGCATCTATACCAGTCCATTTCGATTAATTATGGAGACGAATCTCTCTACCGAATTGGACAATAGTTCCAATAATTCTGATTGGAAAGCGGTGGAAAGTGTTGTCCTTGACATCCAGACGTATTATCTCTGGGTTATATTCGCCTTGGGATTCCCTGGTAACTGTGCTACCATCGTTACAGTCATTAAGATGTCCCCTGCCAGATCGCTGACTGTATACATAGCATTGTTAGCTGTCGTGGATAATTTGGCAATCATCAATAAGCTTTTGTTGTTTGTTTTGCCCGATAAGGGAGTGCACATTGGAAACTTCGGTTGCAAGGTTCTTGGGTACTTCGGAAACTTCCTCATCACCTTTGCCAACTGGTTGCTCGTCGCCATGTCCGTAGAGAGATTCGCTGCTGTGTGGTTCCCGTTCAAAGTTGGCCAAAGCTGGACGTTTAAAAAGTCTCTTATAGCAGTGGTTCTTGTGGCGCTACCCTTGAGTGTTATATTTCTTCACCTCTTTTGGATCATGACTTTCATTGTGGAGGATACGGGCGTGTATTGTGACATTCACGAAGAGTATACATATTTCATGATGCATATATGGTACTGGATAAATGTTATGATATATGCTGTGGTCCCCTGTATTTTACTGTTGCTGTTCAACCTTTTGATTGTCATGGGGATCGTAAGGTCTGGGCGCGCTCAAAAATACCTGAAGAGCACCCGTGGCAATAAGACAGGCTCGTCCACCGTTGACCGTCATCGGCCCATTACAATCATGTTGGTGACAGCGGCTGTGACATTAGTAGTACTAACAACGCCACGTTGTGTTATGTTAATTCTCACACCATACTGGACACCCACACAGAACAGCATGCAAGGTGCCGTGAAGTTCCTGATGGACACCCTTGCTTTTCTGTTATGTGATCTAACGCATGCCATAAACTTTTATGTGTATTCTCTCAGTGCGAAGAGCTTCCGACGCCAGTTTTTGGAACTGTTTTTATGCCACAAACGAGATAAAGCTTCAAGCAGCACACAATATGTGTCTTTGACGTCTCGCGCTTCTGTGAAGATAAACATGACGCCCTTAAATGGAGAAAAACCAATACTAAATTTTTCAAAGAGTATTGAAGATTGATAACTTGACAATGTTGACTATTTTTGCACCATTTCACCATCACATCGGAGTCAATTTTCATAATGTTAAGACGTTAGTGCTTCGTGAAGTAAGTTTTAAACCTAACATACATCGTCAGGTCTTACGGGAAAAGCTTGTTTTGTTTCAGTTTAGCATGGACTACCAGAACAAAGACGAATGCTCCGATTAACATGTATACTGTAGTTTCGGATTTATGTATAGGGATTCATGTTCAGACAATTAATGTATCAAAGAAATATGTACACAAAGTAAGAAACACGCCATGCCTGTAATCATGATAACAATAAATTTATCATTGAAAATGTGTGCTTTAAAATCCTATATTCAACCTTGATATAAAAGCGACAAAAAGCATTTCCATGATCATAAGAAATATGTACGATTCCGACTACATCATCAGTATGTGTATATGAAACACTATCAAATGGTGATGGTACCAGGTGTTCGCGAAAGGGTGAGCGTATCATGGCACCCGTCACAAACACACGCAAAGACAAGGCAATTATTCATCTGAACATATGAAAATGGGAACATATGGTACAAGTCAAAATTGGGAATTGCATCATTTTGTCACTGATGCGTCAAAGTTGGAAAAGTAATCCACATGTCTACCACAAAGTTTTGCTGGGGCCTTGTACCTTGTAACCCTGATTATACAACTTTTGAGCAAGAGTCGTATAACGTTCTTTGACATCTCGGTAGAAGGAGCATGCTCGATTTTACCTCAAAAGTTGTGAAATACGAAAGAAAACGACAAATGCAATGTATTTCCTTGCATTACAATCTGCATGTGTAATATGTCTCTAAATAACACTTAATACATGCAATAAAGAATATTATGGGGCGTACATCATTGATTGGTGTGCCCATAACCAAAAAATAAAGGTATTAGGGAAATAATAATTTATTTGTACGTGTGTATGATTCCCTGATTATGAGTGAGTGAGTGAGTTGTGTTTAACGCAGCTGTTGGGAGTATTGCAGTTTTATTGCGGCGTGTCAGCTTAATGTGGGAGGAAAGCCCGATGTGATGCAGGTCTCGGACATTTACCCCTTCGGTCAAACCCACGAGCACGGGTATGGTGCTGACAAACCTAGAAACATAATCGGGGCGAACCGGGATTCAAACCCACAATCATAGGTTTCTGGCGTGCTCAAGCGACGCAACTCTGCACTGCACGCGACGCCTTAGACGACTGGGCCACCCGTGCCCCCTCCCTGGTAATGTGACGGCTTAGTCAACATGTTCCGAAAATACGACAACTTCATTTACCCACAATCGAATAAAAGAAAGGTAAGGCGTTTTTTTGTCCAGAATCGATTATTTACAGACCAGCTGGAATATAACCTGAAATATAACAAACAAACAAACATGAACGTGAAAACCCTATTAATCCTTCAATCTAAAGTTTCCGTTAACAATACGCTTCGCTCATCTCTGACATTTTTAGGTAAATTAACGAGTAAAATATATTTCCTTACACTGTTTCGTAGAATGCGTTTTTAAAATAAACACATTTATAGAAATTGCACGTTGCCTTACAGGCATAATGAAATATTCACAAACCAATAAGCCTCAAACAAATAATACGTATAAATAAGAGCGAGTGAGTGAAATCCTAGCTTAGAAAGGATGAAATGCTGACACAATAACGATTCAGATTTGCTTAATCGTCAGGAATGGATTATCAGTTGACATTCCTAACACTACTCAACAGAATGAATTAACGTTGAGTAGCTAAATAACAAGTGGTTTCTGTGCCACTATAGCAATATGTCCCTGACACTAAATCTATAATGGTTATGTTGGAGTGCCGTCTTGCTTCGTGGTGGGCTGTCTTCGTGTTATTAAGCATTTTTACGTTGCTTTGCTGCTGATCATCTTAAAAAACAGTTTTGAAATATTACATTGGACAATTTTAAAACGGCACAAATCTGGAGCTCGAATGTGTCGGTATTGATAAATTCATAGCACGTAATAGAAGGGTGTTTTGTTAGCGACAACTTATGAGAATGACCTTCAGGAATTAACTTCATAACCTAATAACAAAGTTTGACAATAGTGTTCTTTTAATTCAAATGGCATTCTCACAGGGACATAAAGAAGTCTTATTTAAGAATAACAATAAATAATAATACATGTAATAATAAGAAGAAATGTTACCCGTGATTTCTCGTTAGCCGTTCTTTTTGCAATTTCTTTTTCTTGGATACATAACGAAGCTTTGGTACAGACTCCATACAAACCTGATCCAATTTGTAATTTCGTTGAACAGGGATCAGCACATTGTTAGATAAATATATGTACGCGCCAAAGTGTTTCGATGTGAACTAAATTGTGAAATCGGCACATGACCACACACGATCAATGAATAATCCTGATCACCGTGTGCACCGCACTTTGGTACAACTGATTGCTATTGCTGGATATATTTTACATATGGGACAGTATGACCAGTCACCGTGGAGACTTCCTGCGGTCTAGCCATTACGAACGCGAAAGCATTATGTAAACATAATAGTCAAACTACAATAAATATTACCTGTGACGAGTCAATGCTGACATTTATGATATCGTTTCATGGCGCCAATAGCGATAACCTGGAAGTTGTTGTTGTACATAGATAACGTTGAGTAGGTTCAGTTCACACACTATTTCGCCGCATTTCATGTTAACATTATTGACTGATTTTTTTAATAAAAAACAGACATGTCATATAAGGGTAATACCAGGATTAATTGAGGACTTCAGTACGGATTTGTTGCCGGCGTTGGGCGCTTTCGTTAATGCCTTTGTGTTGGGGAAAAACATCAAAATCATGTTGGCGTTTAAAAGGCACACACCAAACTACACAACTGTAATAGTTGGTGTGCACTATTCTCGACGGGTTCTTCCCAGAATTCTCACATCTATTGTTTAAGGAAGGCAAGACAATCTAGCGTGTTGATTGGCACAACGATGGGGGATTATAGGGGCCGTCTCACAGGTAAGTGAACTGAGTTTGTCATTGTCATTTTTGTCAAATTTGGAAATGTCCTCAACGTGGATACAATAAAAGCTTTCGAAAGCTTTACTGAGGAATGGTGTAACCTCTATCAAACAACTTTTGAACAAGTGAATGAGTGAGTGAGTGAGTTGGGTTTAACGCCGCTTTTAACAGTATTCTAGTTATATCTCGGCGTGTCACCTTAATGTGGGAGGAAAGCCCGAAGTGATGCAGGTCTCAGACGTTTACCACTTCGGTGAAACCCACGAGCACGGGTATGGTGCTGACAAACCTAGAAACATAATCGGGGCGAACCGGGATTCGGACCCACAATCATAGGTTTCTGGCGTGCCCAAGGGACGCAACTCTGCACAGCGAATCGCGGCGCCTTAGACGACTGGGCCACCCGTGCCCCCCTTTTGAGCAAGAGTCGTATGACTCTTTGAAAACCTATGATAGTTGTTTCAAATATGTACCATATGTGTTGTTCTACCGGGTCTTTGTGGCGGGGACGTCCCGGAATGATATCGATGTCCGCTTTTAATGTTGAAGGTAGGCAAACCAATGAAGCGTGTTGATTGGTGCAACAATACAGGACTACAGCTCACAGGCAAGTGAAATGAGTTCATCCCAGTCTCAACTGACAGGTGCACTAAGTTCAAGCAATTTCACCCAAGTTTTAACTGACAAGTGAACTGATATTCACTCATTTTTTCATTGCCGATGAATACATAGGTGGCAGCCAATGGGACATTTTTGTTTGTTTGTTGTTGGTTAACGCCGCACTCAGCAATATTCCACCTATATGACGGCGGTCTGTAGATAATCGAGTCTGGACCAGACGATCGGGCGATTGACATCATGAGCATCGATCCACGTAATTTGGATACGATGACATGCATCAACCAAGTCCAGTGAGTCTGACCACCCGATCCCGTTAGTTGCCTCTTACGACAATCAAAGTCGCCATTTACGGCAAGCAAGGGTTACTAAAGACCTTTTTTACGCCGGATTGATGATATTCACTCAGTTGTGTTATCTAAGCTTGGCGTTTAAAATTCGTCTTCATGTCAGCTACTGCTCAGTTTAACGTACGGTTTATTTGCAACAGACACGTTTGTCGTTGGGGAATACAGGTATCGTATCAAGAATAGGCGCACAAACAGTATTACACTGGACGCGTCCAATGTCAGGTGATAACGCAACCGTCAACACCAAAGATGATTTTGTCACTAAACATGGTTCTGTCTACAACCTATGATTTCACGCTTTGACAGAAGACAAAACAAACAACCCAAAGACCAGTGCTTTCTGACAAATTTATGAAGATGAGCAAAATGCAGCACAAACCTAGTCATTGAAATGTCGCTTTGGGACCATCGCTTACATGTATATATCCTTGAGAGGCCTTGAAACGATCCCCATGTTTGTAACAACAGAGATAAGGTTAAGCAACTGTTACGTGCGGACACAGTGTTACCATACCGCCTCGACACCCATTTGACTTTTGACAACAGTGCACGCAAAAGATTGTGTCTAAATGTTTTGAAAATTTACCGCGAACACTGCAAAAGGTTATCTTCGTGGTAGCAGCAATAGGTACAGGCTGTATAATAAATAAGTGCATGCACGAATGTGTCACTATCTAATGTCTTGAAACAGACCTCTCTTCATTCTTGAATCCGGAGCACTGTGGGAGGCTAAGTTTACAGATAGCTATCGTAAGAGCATTTGGCAAGTAATTAAGATGCAAGTCAGGTCGAAACGGCCCCTTGTCGCTAATTTATTGGTACAACCAGAAACAGTCTCATGCCGAAACGTCACCAGCGATCATCCTTATCATGTTTGTTTTCATGAACCAGGGGAGGTAACTCTTATCACACGTCCACGGACAATCATACAAACAAACTTCAATCGTCTCCACTGTCACATAACAATGGATACAGACGTATACGTTGGCATGTCCACATTCTACTGTACATGTAGGGGCGGTGGGGTAGCCTAGTGGTTAAAGTGTTCGCTCGTCACTCCAAATGCGCGGGTTCGATTCCTCGCATGGGTACAATGAAGCCCATTTCTGGTGTTTTTCACTCTTTTATTGCTGTGCTAGATCTACAAGCGGCGTAAAACTAGGCTCACTCACAGTACATGTTGATACTGTAAGTATGTGTTGTATTTTGATATACATGCACCAAATCATACTTTTGCAGATAACAAGAAAATGTTTGTATGTACTTGGATATTTGTTGATTTACCAAGTAATAATCATTACTTTTAAAGATACAT